ACAATGACGGGGTTTACAAGGGGTTTTGGCAACAACGACGCATTCATGCCAGAAGTGCATGATTGGAATCCTGCAACGGAATGAAGTCTCATATTTTGATACCTAAGTCCTGCAGTGACCCCACAAGATGCGATACAGGTTCCTTCTCCCTGTTGAAAAGCAAAGTACGAAATCCAACCTCTCTGGCGCTTGGAAAATTCCTTTCCTTATCATCGACGAATAAAATCTCGCGTGGTTCGATGGCCGTCCCTTCCACATCCAGACTTCCCTTGCCAGCCCCGCCCCCCTGTTGCCGTCCCCTCTTGATATCCCTGTTGTTGAGTCGGTCGAGGAAAATCTCGTAAATCTTCTTATCTGGCTTCGCACACTCCACATCTGCAGAGACCAGCACCAAGTCCGGTTCCAAATACTCGCTCAGAAGCTTCTTAAACTCAGGAAACTTCTCCACCACGAAGTCCCACCAAATGTGCGTGTGGTTGGAGATGATCCCAACAATATATCCATTCTTTTGTAGTTGCATAGCGATATCGATTACGTCTGGAAACACCTGCATTCTCTCCACCACCGCCAGCTTCATACGTTCTGCCAACTGTTGTCCTTCTTCCAGCTGCAGGTTTTGAACTTTTCGGTTGTCCGTGGCCTCGACGGAGAGATCTACCGGAGCAACGGCCTTGATTGCTTCCGAAACTTCATGAAGAATCCTATCCCAGAAGTTCTGGGGATCGTATGTGGATGATATCTTCGACTTATCCCATTCTTCTTTGATCACTCGAGTTACGTCTCTCGTCAGCTTGTCGAGGTCAATCGACCCTGTGGCGAGAGGAGACTGATCGCGCGTTTCTGCTGATGATGCCGATGTCGAAGATGCTTCCGCTGGATTCGCGGCTGATGATGCCGAAGGACGACCAGAGGCTGCTCGGGCGAGGGCCTCCGCGCAGTATGCTTGAATCTGTTCCATCAGACCAGTCCAATTCATATTCTCTGCGAGGACCCCACCGCAGTCGAAGGCAATGACGCGGATATCGGTCGTCTTCCGGTCTTTATCGGCCATGGTTCACTTCAAAGTTGACTTCAAGTCGCTGGAGTCGCCGTCCACCCTGTGTTTGGATGCTAGTTTGGATGTTCGGTTGCGAAACACAAAGGTGACCCTGGCAAACGCTTGTGATACTCAGCGAATTCATCATCAGTGAAATCCCAAGGTCGTGACAGACAACCGACACGGAAACCCACACGCAGAAGCAGAAACAATAGCCATGGCAATGAAGGTCGTTCCGCCAAAGGGCGGTTTCAACTTCGACAACTACACAAGGTAATGTGTTTTTCGGGTTTCTTCCTTGATGTGTCAGTGGAGGTTGGTGTACCTTCAAGACGACTGGATTCATTTGATTCGGCGGAGCTTTTGCTCCGGCCACGCATACATACTCTTATCTTCCTCTGGGATTAACTGTTATGGTGTTGGTCACCATGGCTGTCTATCTTGAGTTTTGCTGACGAACTGGTGTTTATTTTGCTTAGAAATGCTATGCTTGCCAATAACGGCTTGAAGGAACCGAAGGCAACCAAAACTGGGACTACGATTGTTGGGTGTTTGTTCAAGGTGAATACATCTCCTGAAAACGGCTGACAGTGGGCGTCGGATTTTTCAACATCTTCCACAGGATGTTTTGATCGGAGGGTTAAACTTGGAACGGAGGGTTATGAGAGTGGGAGGTCGGAGACACTGTTGTGTTTTCCCTGGCGAGACCCAAGAAGATTTGTTTCCTACCTTCTCCTATTCTGACCCTGTACACGACTCCAACCTGTTTTCAAGGATGGTATTGTCCTCGGAGCCGACACGCGTGCCACCGAAGGTTCCATCGTTGCCGACAAAAACTGCGAGAAGATCCACTATCTGGCACCCAACATGTACTGCTGTGGTGCAGGTACTGCCGCGGACACAGAGATGACTACGGCGCTCATTTCCTCCAAGCTTGAGTTGCACCGGCTGTCCACAGGGAGGGAAGCGAGGGTAATCACGGCGTTGACTATGTTGAAGCAGATGTTGTTCAGGTGCGTAATGAGGATAGTGAGGAACTTCATTGAGCCAGCATGAGCAAAGGGGCGATTAGCTCACATTTGGATTGCGACAAACATTTCAGATACCAAGGTCACATTGGAGCAGCCCTTGTTCTCGGGGGAATGGATTACAGCGGCCCGCACCTTTACACCATATACCCGCACGGCAGCACAGACAAGTTGCCTTATGTCACGATGGGTAGTGGGTCCTTGGCCGCCATGGCTATCTTTGAAGCGCGTTGGAAGAGGGATATGAGCGTAAGTGTGAACCGGACCTGTTTACAGCGATGACGATAATCGGCATTAGTTGAACTTTCTGTCGCTCCACTGTGATCCATCTGTTGACATGTCCTCATTACCCGAAACAGCGCGAGGAAGCTATCGAACTCGTGAAGGATGCCATTGAGGCCGGTGTCTTCAACGATCTGGGTTCGGGTAGTAACGTAGATGTCACCGTGATCACCAAGGACGGTGCTGATGTTCTTAGGAACTACCGGAAACCGAATGAACGTGGGCAAAAGGAACAAAGCTATAAATTCCGCCAGGGGACGACAGGTACAGTTCAGACCCACAATGTGACATTTATGGTCAGGTTAAGTCCTATGACCTATGACTAACGTTTATCCACCATCACATTTGTAGTCGTTCTCAAAAGCAACATCAAGCACATCGTCGATATCGTCGAAGGCGATGTCATGGACACTTCATAAACCTTTTCATTTTCGTGTAATCTTTGTTTTCGCCTTGGGATGAAAGAAATTGCTTGCCTTTGTCTTTCATTTTACGAGGTGCGGCGGGAAAGTTGGTCGGCCTGTTTCCCAGCAATATGTAAATTTCATGTTTTGAATATTGAGCGTTTTCGAATGGTGAAATGGAATGTGACAGTGAGCTCCGCTTTGGGACGTCCGGCAAGATCGTGTCGTTATATATGTGTCTCCATGACGGGGTTCTGAACACGTAAACTTGGATGAAAAGTACTTGCCTCCCCAGTACCCACAAGTTTCCGATACGATGAGCCTTGTACCGGTTACTGTCGCTTCTGAAGAGGCGCCGGCATTCACAGAGGCTTTGCCCTTTTTGACAGGTGCTACATAAACACTCCGATCCTTCACCCAAAAACTCCGCAGCACACGTCCCGCACAACTGGTTACTTTTCTTGGTACGAAAGGACAAAAACACAACCGAAACCTGAATCCACTCTACCGCAAACAACCGGAAACCATGCCGACCCTCTTCTTCTCCGTCGGACCCTGGCACACCTTGGTCTTGGGCTGCCTCACTGGAATGACTTTCCACACCACATTCATTAACGGGATTATTCAGTTCAAGCATTTGCCAAGACATGTAAGGAGTTGGAAGGATGGGGGGCGGGGCGGTGGGTGGGGCGGGGTCACGAGAAACGGTGCGTGGTGATGGTTAGGGTGGTTGGGTGGGGAAAGGGGATGTGGAGGTCCCATGTGATTTTCATTCGTCGTATTCTCATTTTGTTGAAGTTAAACACACGGTACGCCCCTAGCTCGTGTGTGGGCGAGGGGTTTTGGCTGAGTGCAAGGAAGGGCGTCGAAAGCTTGAAGATATATAGGCGATCTGTTCTTTTATTCCGGGGAGCGCGTCTCGCTACAGATATCTGACCAGCGTACTCGATTACATTTCTCTCTCTTTTTGTTATTTGTCCTTCTCATCAAAATCTTTGAACAACGCCGCGCTTGCTCCCTTCCCGCTCTCCCGTTTCCGCCTCTTCAACGCACGTATGGCCCATGTGTTTGGATGCACACGCCTTAAACCTTGATAGATGTTCGGTAATCTCCAAAGGTAAAGAACGGATGCACGTCGGACGGACAACGTAACCACCAGCACCGTGACTTCACATCCTTTTCTGGGGTCCGAAAACCCGCAAATTAAACCTCTCTTCCCCGCCCCTTCGCCCTCTCTCTAATTTCCAAACCAGCAAACAATTCCCACCATATTTCACCCTCCAAACCATCACCTCCGGAATCCTCACCTGGACAACAGCCCGACTCGCGGGTATCCACTCTCTCACCCCCGTCATCGAGGCTGCCACCAGTCCTTCGGTGTTATTGAGCGGAAGTGGACCGGCCCAGGTCGTGTTGATGGCTGCGGCGGTGGGAGCGAGCGTGTCGAATCTGGTGTATTGGGGTCCTGTGGTAAGGAAGTCCGTGCGGGAGGAGAGGGGTGATGATTTTCGGTGATCCAGTTCTGTAGCTAGTTCCAATTCAGTCCCTCGAGCTCCATGATCTCCGCGAGAAAGAAATCAAACACGCTCTAATGTGGTTCTTCTCTCCCCCCCGCCCCTTTCTTTAGTCAACACGGGTGATGTTCGAGCGTCACCGTCTCGAAAAGGTAAGGCCTGAGCGTCGCAACTTCCCACTTCGGCCAGAATCAACGTTTCAAGCACCCTCTCTCTTTCCCTCTTTCTCCCCCCCGATCTCTTTCATTCCAAAATATCCATCATCTCTCGCCCCGTCATCTCGACGTCATCTTGATCCTCCTCCTCACACCTCAACAGGCGGGCAAAGACGTCCCCCCGGAACTCAACACCCGCTTCTCATGGCTCCACGGAATCAGCAGTCTGTGCAATTTGGTAGTGGTCGCGGCGTGCACGGCAAATTGTGTCTGGATTGGGGCCAAGTTGGCGGCCTAGTTTTGGTTTCCTGTTGGGCGGGGAAAGCCCAAGAGAAAGAATATAGTCGTTTATTGACTTGAACAATATTTAAGGTTGTTCCGAACAACAAAGTGGCATTGATGCAGTCAGACATGTGCTGATGGGGGACCACAACAGAAAGGCTACGGTGGATCGGCGGGAGACACTTGTGGCAAAAGCAAAAGGATTCATAAGAATCATTTAAACGGTGAAACTTAAGGACAAAAAGTCGAACACGACCAAAATGACGAAATATGCGAAAAAAATGCTGATTGTTTTTACTTTCCCCATCCGGGAATCGAACCCGGGCCGCCACGGTGAGAGCGTGGAATCCTAGCCACTGGACCAATGAGGATGTTATTACTTGAACACATTTTTAATTCATAGATTGTAAACTAAATGCAAACCAGTACAAACCAAGAAGAACCAGTATCTTTCACCCTCCTCCACTAAAAAGTCTCATCAAATAACAGATCTTCCTCTATAAATTTTCCTGCCACAAGAGATAAAACCATACCAAAACCGGATTCGCGACGTGGTTGCTCCTATATATCTCATTGAAAACACTACGATTACCCATCATGAAATATCACCATTCTTCCTTTCCACTACCGACGTTTGTGACCTCCCAATCTACATACATCCTTTTGTTATTAGCTGAACTAAGCTCAAAGTAATCCGGGTGGTAAGGTGTCGGGTATCGGATAACCCCGTAGCCGGTCATCGATCAAGTACATTCCTGGAAACGCAACGAGTCAGACAAGAAACCAAATTTCAAAGTCGAAAGAAATGCAGTGTAACGGGGGATGCGGTCAAGCGGAGAGAATCATTGTGTGTCGGGTCGTTGCAGGGGAAAGGTGAAAACTGACCTACGACAAACTCCGGGCATGTCAAAAACCCATCATCATCCGTATCCGAAAGGATCCTATTGACGGTTCAGACGTAGAAGTTAGAGGACGCACAATCAGATTACATCCCACGTTACATGCTGAAAACACCGGCTCCTAGAGCGGATCCAACTTAAACAGGAGACTTACCATATCTTCGCCAAAGAGTCAGTATCCAGTCCACTGCGGACCCATATCGAACGCACATCGTCTCCACTCAGATAACCGTCACCGTCGGTGTCACTTTCATTAAACAGCTCTTCGTAACGCACACGTGCGTCGGGTGTGATCTTTCTATTCGCCCATTCCCCTGTTCGAAACAGGTGTAATGAGTGAACACATGGTGGATGAACCTGACGTCAAGACTCGACCATAGCAGAAAGAATATAGACACGGTGGAGTGGCAACTCCGCATACCCGAAATCAACTTACCATGCTGAGGTGGTCTCGCCGGCACAGCCGGTTCCTCGTTAACATTCGTAGCGGACGGTCTTGATGGCATAGTCGGTCGCCGCGGCACTGAAGGGACTGCAACATCATCCGGACGCTTCGGCATGGTTGGTCCTTGGTTCGTACTTGGACGAGAAGGAATCGAATGTACATCACTCGATACTGATGCGGCCGAACCTGAAGAAAACGATCTGTTCAATTGCGACGGTTTAACAAGTCCATTTGATGCATGCCCGGTGGTCACCGACGCCGTTACACCGAAAGGGGATGATTTCTGGGCTTTCAGTTCAGAGGGTTTCAGAGGTCGGCTGGGTTCGGCGGGGAATTCATTCGATGATGGAATTTTGCTGAATGGCTGTTGGGCTCTGATTTCGGAGGGTTTCACGGGTCGGGAAGGAAGTTCATCGGCCGATGACGGTTGCTGCTGTTGTTGTGCTCTGATTTCCGAAGGTTTGAGAAGTCTTGGGGGTGCGTCATCAGACGTGGCCGATTTCGCGCTTCCAAAAGGTGATGTTGAACGTGGTTGTGAAGCTGGGGCATCGGGTTTGGCCCAGCTGGCAGGTTGCTGTTGTGTTTGCGGACCAGGGACAACCGAAGGTTTGTTTGCGGGAATGGCGGGTTTGTTCCCCGGTATGGCTGGTTTGTTCCTGGGAACGGGTGGTGCTGGCTTTTTAGGTGCGATTGCCGGAACCGCTGCTGCTGGCTGAGTCTGCGAAGGGGCGTTTGAAGGCTCGGAGAACGATGGACCTCGTGATGGTGTGGCAGGAGGTTGATAGCTTTGGTTCGACTGAAGCATAGGGGGTCGCTTAGGTACAGCTGGGGTATTCGACGTTTCAGGTGTGTTGTCGGCCATAGATGAGATCGTCATTGCGGCGCTGGCACTGAACGACCGTTTGAAATTTCCGGGACCAATAGGCTCATTCGGATTCGCAACGTTACCGCCGCCGCCAAGGGCCGGCATGGCACTGGTTTGCCGTGTTCTCTTCGTCAACGCATCTTCTTTGGCTTGTTGGACCAAGATCGACGACTTCTCCAACAGAGCCTTCCGAGCATCGTATTTGTTGATGGTTGGCTTTTTGTCCAGCTTGAACCCTTCATCTGGGGCGACAGAACCCGATGGTATGGGCCGCAGTTGCGACCGGAAATCTACGCCCCCGCCGACTCCACCCATAGATCCAATGGTGCTGGAAGAAGCGCTCTTCGTAATCTTGTCCAGTAAGAGATCATTCCCCGGGCGAAAGTATGCAGAAGAACTTTGAGTGAGGACCATGTCATAGATTTTGAGTGTCCGCGCTTCCAACCAGAACCAGCAAAAGAAGAGTATATGGGGACTCGTTAAGTATTTACGTACCTGTGGATGACCCGGACCAGCACCAACAGTGGGTCTTGCCGCAAAAGCAGGTCGACCAGGTACTGCCGGCTTGGCCTCAACCTGGAGGCGTTCATTTGTAGGAGACAAAACTGAAAATTAGATTCGAAAAAAAGACACATACAACCAAGTATTTCCCGTTGCTATAAAGAAACATCAACGCCTCCGTTTATGCCTTCTCACCGGCGCATCTTCAAACTGAACGTAATTTCCAGGGAACAACCCTACAGCCCCCGTTGCAGCCAACCGTCCACGATACCACCCCTCATCTTCCGCAGGCTCCACTATTCCACAAAGCCAAAACCATATCCATTGCGGACCAAACAACAAACAATGAACCAAAGACAGTTGGTTAGTGATGCGTCCGACCCGTCAGCGGAGTTAACCCCTGCAACATGGCAACCTTGAAGCCAGAAAAGGGAGCAATTCACCTACCGTCGACAATCACATCCTCGGGATTAAATGACAACTCCGCCTCATCATCGCCGACGCAAGCGTAGAGCGCGATTGCGCGTGCCATGGCGTTTCTTCAACTTTCTTGTAGTTGAGTGGCAGGTGAGTTATTGTGTAACAAAGTTGCGGACAAAGCCGAGGGGAGAGATGATCGATCTCGAAGGGTGACCAGCCGTTGCAGGGATACGTTTGTCCGATGTGGATAATATTAAATTGTTTTCTATTCCCTCCTCCCCTTCAATCCCATCCGCCCTCCCACCTTTTTTACATAATAACATCATTCTATCTTCAATAAACAAAGGCCACCCAGTACAAGAACATACAATGCTAAACCCTACACAGACTGTAAACAAACGTCAACAAAATGAACGAAAAAACTTGATCATGATCGTCCCTCGAGTGCGTGAAAGAGAACCCCCTTTTTCCTGACCCGGCTCTCACATTTTCACCAGCAACTGCACAACATTATACCCAATATTGGCAACCGAAGTCAAAGACGTGATCGCAATACACCACAAAGCAACCGTGCGCCCCTTTACTTTCCACCACCTCGGTATAGACCTAAAGGCTGGGGACACAAAGTCCGGGTGTGTAGGCAACGACTGGCGGCGCGGGTCACGGTCACTTCCCCCTCCACGACTAATGCTTCGCCGTAACCCATCAATCACATTGGAAATACCCAACGCGGATCTGAATGAGCGAAAGGAACCAGAGCGGGATACTGAAGCGGGTTCGGGGGCGGCAAGGTGGTTGTTGGTGTTGTTGCCGGCGCCGGTGGTGGTCGGAGTGTTGGGTTTGGTGCTTGTATTGCTGTGGTCGGTGAAAGCGGTTACGAACGAGACGTTTGTGTTAACGGTGTCTTGTCGCTTCAGATGACTGCCGCCTAGAATCGGTGAACCGCTCTCAAACGTCACTGATTGCCGCATTGGGGAGTGTTTCGTGTATGACGAATTGTGACTGTCCATACGTAATACTCCTCCTGGGGCGGTCACTCTCTCACCGCCTTCCCCACCAGCCTCATCAACCTGCTGATTCCGCTGATTCTGCACCCCAGATGGATTCCCATCCCCATTTTCGCAATCAGCATCCGACACCATAATGGCAGCAGGGACTCTCTGCGTCGTACCAGCAGCGGCAATCCAAACGGATCCTTTCTCACTATTCGGCGGTGATGGTGACGGTAACGTCCCGCCGCCTTTCCCACCCTTCCAGCTCTTTTTACTCTTCATCGACGACTTGGCCGTTCTCTTCCGCGACAAAAATGAAGATCCGCTATGTCCACTGTGTCCCGCCACCGCAGCAAGGGCAGCAGACCCTCTTCGCGAGGACGATGATGGGCCAACACCTTGTCCCGGCTCTGATGCCCAAACCCAACCGCCAGCAAACGGCTCCCCAGCGAAACCATCATTGTACGAAGTACCCAGAGAACCAGAAGTGAACGCGATGGACGATTCCATCGTGGCCATGCCAAAGTGGTCCTCCCGGTCCGGATCGGGCACATCCTCCAACAAGTACGGCTCCAATATAGCATCAATGGGGTTCTCAGACCAAACACTCCGAGCGTCACCACCAGCCCCGTCGGACTCGATTGTTGCACTTGGGGTGAAGCTAGGGGTCGGGCTGATTCCGCCATGGTAGAAACTGAGAACCGCTGGGATGTGCAGGAATGGTGGCCTCTTGCTGGTGCTGTTGCTTCGGCTATAGCCGGTTGTTGGTGTTGTTGTTTTGGCCGAAGAGCCATTCGTGTTTGCGCTGGTGCTGGCGGGTTGCCGGTCATTGTGTGCGGCGGTCGATGGCACTGCCAACAGAGTCCCTGAAGCTTGGTTTTGATTGTCATTGTGATCAAGCATTTTGAGAGAATCTGGTGTTCCGGCGCCTGCAAACGCAGACGTACCGCCTTCGGGCGACACAGACAACATGGTATTGACGGATGATGGGGTTGGTGGGGCCAAGTGAGATGAAGTAGAGGCCATGGATGGAGGTAATGCTGGCGGAACCGGAAGCTTATCGGCGGACGCGGACGCGGGTTGTGTTGATCCTGCTGGACCGTTGGATGACATCCACCCATAATAAGGAGTTTGAATAGCCTCCGATTGCCGTGGGGAAGGGACGAACGACTGTCGTCGTTGTGAAGTCAGAGCTGAACTCCTCGGATCCTTCGAACCTGTGCTGCCGCTTCGCATGCGGTTGGCAAAA